CATACATATATGTACATTTGCATAAATATATCTATTTACAATAGTATATATATATAAATATATATATAAATGTATATATAAATATATATATAAATATATATAAAAATATATAAATATATATAAATATAAATATATAAATATATATAAATATAAATATATATAAATATAAATATATATGAATATAAATATATATAAATATATATATATATATAAATATATATAAATATATATATATATGTACACACACACAATGGGGGCTTCAAAAAGTTTGTGAAAAAAATCCATAACTAAAAATCATATGGAAGGATTTTGATATCAATGCACCTGGACATTCTTGTACCAACATGTTATAACATATTCAAACATGATCCCTTAAAGGCAGGAAATAACGCATTGCCACCATTTGGAAGTCAGGCACCATTCAAGCAACATGGAATCTACCAAAATCAAAGCCATAAAAAACATTAAATTCAGTGAAATTTGGTTGGGAGCATAAGCATATCACTGACGTTCTGGAACAAGTTCATGATGACAATGCCCCAAAGAAATCAACAACCTCCAAATGAATAAGTTGGTTCAGAAGGGGAATGAACAAAATTAAATATGAGACTCGCAATGGCAGGTCATCAACGTCAGTTTGTGAGGAAAACATTGATGCTGTTTGCAACATGATAAACGAATAACCACTGAATCAGTAGCAGAAATAACATCTCTGTGGGTTCTGCACACATAATTCTGGTGGAGAGTTTGGGGCTAAGCAAGCTCGATGGGTCCCTAGGCTGTTGCACCCAGATCAGCAGCAAACAAGGGTAGATCTTTCAATGGGAATTTTGAACAAGTGGGATGAGGACCCTAAAACTTTTCTGCAGAGAATTGTGACGGGATTTAACATGGCTCTAGCAGTACGATCTCGAGAGTCAACAATACATAGTGAGACTGGATGGTACACTTCACATCTCTATCCTACTGCTTCCACCAGAATATGAACAAGACGTGAGATGGGAGCACCGCTGTACGAGAATATGAGCATCACAAAAGATGGTCTTGGGCGGGTCAATGAAAGGGGTCTTAGCTTACTGGTTTATTGCTGAAGATAGATATGAGAACCCCCCAAGAGACCCAAGTCCACGGGTCGAGGATGAGGAGGTGGAGCTGAACCCTGTGTGACTAAGCCTGTCTGCCATGTCTCTCTCTCTTTCTGTCATACAAATGTGTCCTTTTATGCGACAATTCCCTTTAAGGGCGGATGTCTACTCCCGTGCTGGGACAGAGGAGTGAAGTGGACCATCTGGTCTTTCTACATATTGTTGGCACCATGGACAAAATTCAATCACAGCAGTAGTTGCCCAGGGTTGGAAGTGGACAAGTCAAAGCAAAATCTAAGCATTCAAGAGGAAAGGTCATGGCCACTGACTTCTGGGCTGCAGAGGGGATTTTGCTGGTTGACTTCCTCGAGAGCAAAAAAATATCTGCTTATTATAAAGGTGCTTTGAGAAAATAGTAAAAAAAAAACGCCCTAAAACGCTGCATCAATGCCTCCAACTTCCATCTTGTAGCCCAAATTTAGCCCCAACTGACTTCTTTTTGTTTCTAAACTTTAAAAAATCATTGAAAGGTACCAATTTTACATCAGTTCAAAATGTAAAATGAGCTGCTCTGACATAGTTAAGATCACACAACCCTTAGTTTTACTCAGACAGACTTAAAGGATAGTATCAACATTTGCAGAAGTATATTGGCCTTAATGGAGAATATATATGTACATATATATAAATATATAAACATGTATGCATATATATACAAATATACATATATATACACATATACACAAACACACAGATACATCTATATACATATTTATCTACATAAAAATACATATACATACATAAAAATAGATCAAATATGTTTATATATACATATACATAAATACACATATACATATATATACAAATGTACATACATATACATATATATGCATATATTTATATACATGTATATACATACATTTATTAACATGTATATACATATTTATATAAACATATATTTAAGTACATATACATACATATATCTATATACATAAATATACATATATATATATGCATACATATACATCAATATATACATATATATACATCAATATATACATATTTAAACATCAATACATACATATATATGTATATAAATATATAATTATATATACAAACATACACTCTTATATATACATAAAAATATACATACATACATATACACAAACAAACAAACATACAAATAAATACACACACACACGCACACATAGATGTTTAGATGTTTAGATGTGTATATGTGTATATATGTATATATATATGTATATATGTGTAAATATGTATATATATGTATATATGTAGATGTGCATATATGTATATATGCATATATGTATATATGCATATATGTATATATGCATATATGTATATATGTATGCTTGTATGCTTGTATGCATGTATGTATGTGTGTTAGAGAGAGA